AGAAGAGAATAGTAGTGTAAATCAAAAAATAATTAACACATATACCTATTTAAAGAAACAAAAGTCAATCTCATACAACTTCCTTTCCAATTTAACATTCCTAAGTATCTAATTTATGAAGTGAAAAAGACAAATATAGCTTATCAGTTCTAATTGTAATGTCACACTTCTGTTTCTTTGTTGTATTTGTAAAGATCCATTTGGGTGGTGATAACAGGCTGTCTCAGTTGTTATCAAGAGATATACTCAACTCATTGAAACATTTGGGACAGGGAATTAACAATTAATGGGTCATAACACTTACATGCTTGTAACTCAATCTGGAAGTAAATAAAAGCAATAGTAAGCTCTATTTACTTACTATATGGTTCAAAGATTTTCAAAAATGTTCTTATCAGAAATGCAATATAAACTAGAGAACCCGTGCGGCTCAATGAGCCGCATAGTATGAAACATAACGCCGAGGAAAACGTTAAGCTTAAATTCGAGTAATTCTAGTTATATCTTAAGAGTTGTTTAAACACTTGTTAGAAAATAATTTTAAATATCTCTATTTGCGTCGTCTCGCCTACATTATTTCTGCTCTCAGTTTTAACTGATAACGTCTAATGAATGCCAAACGATATGCTTCAATTCGAGTAAACATATTGCTACAAAGTTTTTCCAGCATTGAGAATTGAAGAAAACTGTTACCTTACTGATAACCTGTGTTAAGTAATTTAAGTTGGGCCATTTTATTTCTTTGATTTGAGACATCCCCCTAATCAAACGAATTTTCTCCGTAGAGAATCCTGAAAAGTGGGGTGATATCAGCAATTTCCTGTGCTCCATTTTTTACCCACAAAACTGGACAGCCATAATCTGCTTTGAATAGGCTAAAGCAGCAACACTATTGAAAGTTGGTTAACGTATTTTAATGTGTTGTCTGTCAGTCACAGTATATGCCCCGCATCAGAACATTCTCACATTGTTTAGTGGAGTCTCTCTTAATACCTGTCCCAAAGTTTTGAAAGTGTCGAAATAGGCCCATTGATTTGTCGAAATAGGTTAACTCTTGTAGCTATAAGATTTGGATGACAATTTTCATTTTCTCTTTTTGAACAGCGTATATTATTAAAATACGTAATATACGCGTTAATATACGCGTTTATTTTTATTTGCCTCTCCTGAATCATAATAATAAACTTGACCATAACTACTCGACCGTTGAATACATGAACTCTAATTCCTTCGTTTGGTCTAATATTGCCACTAAGACTTTCAATAGCAAATGAGTTGTTGAAACTTCTTATTTTGGACTTCAAATGTCTGGATTGTGTTGGTATATTCAGTCAAAAAACCTTGTATAAGTTTGTCCGAGGAACTGGCAACATAACCTAGAAGTAAACAATCCATTTGCGTTTTTTCTCAGTTGAAGTAGAGCGAGTAATACAAAAGTTTACAATAAAAACGTAAGGTCCGCCAAGATTTGGTATAATCCTACTACTTGAACTTATCATAGTCAAGGAAATAATATAGTTTGTACTAAATGTTTTGAAATATCTCGATCTGTCAGTGTCCGAAGTAAATATTTCTTGCAAGCATTTATTTGATCTGGCATTAGGCAAGTTTACTTTACCACCATGACAACACTATGTGCTTCGTATATTTTTTCACTTCCAAAGTAAGTTGAATAGCAGAACTGGCAAATATTATTCATCTCACCAAGTGAATGTGTATCTGGATGGATATCTGTTAGACTTAGACCAGACCTCTCTTTTTCTACTCTCCTCATACGCATAAGATATCTTGTTATTAATTATCTCCTCCTCCCGTTTTCAATATTTTTCTTTTAACTTGAGGCATTTTCTGTTCTTCCAACAAAACTGATTAACGGTTTAACTTGTTCTTAACCTACTGAATATTACAAACAATACTATTTACTCCCAAAAGCTAACAAATTTCTTTTTATAAACAGCTGTTTTTGTTTTTAAATTTGTTCTATGTATTTCTTATGGGGAAAACCCGACCTTTGAGAGGGTCTCACGCCCTTAAGAGTGGGAATTTTAAAATTCTAAAACCTTATTGCAAAACTACATATTAAGACGAACCTTTCGACACCTTAAACGTTAAAATTGGTCTACAAATAAGGGAGGAGTTGCGTTAACAAAAAACGGCTTCACGTATTATATATATAGATCCTTTATTTCAACAAGATTAGGGTCACCCTTTCTTACTCTTAACCTGCATTTAAATAATAATTATTTATAATAGAAAATAGTAATGATCAAACACAACAAAGATTTAATTCCTTTGACACAATTTATATTACTTGTTCTAATATCAGACATGACATGATAACTCTAAAATATTTTGCTTTTTATGAAACTTTGATCATACAGCTACCCAATATATGTTTTGGATCAGACCGTGGGGTTCAAAAGGTTTTGTATCCTTAAAGTCAGATTTTCGGTCATAGCTGTTAAATAAAAAGAAATATTTTTTAAATTTAAATAATTTTATAAAGACAAATAATTTGTTAGATTATATTTTTATTCAATCATTTCCATGTTTTAAGCTTCTTAGAATGGATGTACGCAACTTTATATAATTTGGTAAATTGCTTAATTTAATTGTTATCAGTTGAAATTGGATGTAAAAATATAGTTTAGTATACAGTATGCCCTTCCCTGCATCAAAAATGGGGGTACTCTTTGAGCTAATGTTATTAAAATTAGTTACACAAATAATAGTATGTATTTTTCAACAATGGGTTGATATGAAAAAAAATTCAATAAGTTAACTAGAAATTCCATCAGTTTACAGATTTGTTCCAAGGGGAGTATTTTTTAAAATATTTTTGAGAAAAAGTTAATAACATTTTAGTTACAGGAAGTAAGTTGAAGTAACAAGCATTAAATACTAGCCAGAACTATATTTTAAACAACCATACAACAGCTACGATATTTTACCACTAATACTACAGTCCCAATCTAAAGAAAAATAATTCTGTCAGCCTTTTGCTCATTTGGGTGAAAAATGAGTTCAAATTTTAAAGCATGGTCATCAAAAACCACACATTATTTAATCCGTTTGAAACATTTCCATGTACAATTTTCCTAAATCACAAACTTTCGAATACTCAGAACAAACAATTTATGGCGATTCCATGTGGAGGTTAAAAGTTTTAAAAAATGTGACACCACTATCTTCAGGGCATAGAGATTAAGTCATTATCTAAAGTGTTTTCCAGATGCAGAAAGTGTAAGTGAATGCTAGAGAGTTAAATGTAAGATTAATTAAGATATTATGTTCCAAGAACATTCTAGCATCAGCAAATGACATAAACATTGTAGTTTCTTGCAGTGTCTGATTTGTTATCTCACATTCACCTTACTATTTTGACCTCCACAGTGGCAACAACATTGAGACACTATCTATTGTGTTATCAGGATGGTTCCCCAAACTGTCATTTGTACTTGTAAATATCAGAAATACCTAAATCAACTTTCGCTCTTGATTTGTAACTGATTATACATACTTTATTCTACTTTTTTTCTTTGCTCAGTTTTAAAATTAAAGAACTGTAATGCTATGTATCATTTAAACTAACCAAATTGTTGTTAATCATATATATTTTTAGATATGCTGTTGTAGTATATAACTACTGTATAATATTTCAAATGTTACAAAAATATTTAACATCCTTGTTGGATACATACATATTTATATGCAACCAGCTATACTTGCTTCACTATTTTGTATTGCTTTGCTTTTTTGTATTACTTCGCTATGTCGTCTTGCTTTGCCATGTTGTTTTTGGTGCTGTAGAAAGGTATGAGATTTCTCAAAAACACAAATTCACCATAAAAAAATATTTAAACCACATGTGCGCCTTTGAAACATGAATGATTTTAATTGAAAGTGATTCCTCACAAACATTGTAAAAATACAAATAATAATCTATTGAACTATTTTTCTGCCAACACCATAACCTTCATTTGTGTAAAGACCCTAGAAATAGCCTACTTAAAAATTCACTGAAAATAAAATGAATTGTGTTTTTAATAAAGAAAATACCATGTCTTTAAAAACTTATTTTTTATTCCTCTAAGTTACTTCTATTATTTTTTTAAAATATTAACGAATCAAATCAAATGAGATGAAATTAAAAACTTTATTCTAAGAACCATACACAAAAGTTACATTTTACACAATTGTATTTTACAAAACCTATATCCCACTTGCTTGGTTGGGTTAGGTTAGGTTGTCATCTAACCTAACCTAACCAACCAATTTTCTCGAAAAGCTTAAAATTTGCAGTTGTTATTTGAGTCTACTACTTTGAATATTTTCTCCAAATTCATATGGCGTGTGTCAATTTTTTAAATATTGTATTTTTCATTATTTTTTACCTATAAAAGATTTCAATAAGTTATAGAAGTGTAATAGGAAAAATAGAGCTGTGGACACGTAACGGATTTTGACCATAATTAGGGGTAAAGACCTCTAATCTACAGGAAACTCCTGTTGTAGTAATTGTTTGTAATGACTCTTGTCAAACATCACTAATTGATAAAACGTGTAAACATACAATGAAACCTTAAAATTATAGAAACTACAGATTCCCATAATTTGCTTATTAGTTGGTAACATAGTATCTAGTCTTAGTATTTTTGGCAAATGAAAAAGACGAACGACCAGTTACAAGTGGAATTCTACCTATTATCTTTCATTATATTATATTATAGGCCTACCTATTGTATTATATTACATCTAAGGCTACTTAATTTGAGTATCTGTTATAGTTACCTTTGCATGTGTATTGGAGGATTGATGGCACACATTTTTTATGTGAAAGATATTGAAATTTGTTGTGTCAGTAAGTATGTTTAACATTCCACTGTAAAAGATGACATAACAGACAAATTAAAATAAATTCTTCACCTCAATATGCCACTTACGTCAGTGTTTTCCCTGGTGACTTTGTTTACATATCTGACCTTGTTTGTTTGTTGCAGATAACATGGAGTGTGATTTGCCTGAGGAAGACTTTCTCCAGCAACTGTCCAATGACCTTGAGGTAAACTTGTGTTAATAGCAATAACTTCAACTTTTAGTCCTAAATGTATTTTTATCATTGTCATAGTGTTCGGGAAATTTTTACCTGACATAACTTAACCAAACCTAACCTAACTTAACCTTGGTTTACCAATAATCTGTCTTTTTCGGCATTTTGCTAACTGAAGCATGGGTTAGGTCGGGTTAGGTTAGATTAGATAAAGTTAGGTTGGATTATATTTATTTTGGTTTCCCTACCCAAAAACGGGCATTTTCTGCACTTTGCAACTTTTTATTTGTATGTAACAATTTTATTATTTTGTTAGTGTAAAAAAGCTAATCTTGACTACATCCACCAGGTGAGCTGAGCTAGCTGATCACTATCCATGTACATGATACTCCCATTCTAAACTTTTGTATTCTTTCAGCTAGGTTCCCACCCGAAAATAAACCGAGCCACGGTACTAAATGTGGTGACAGAAAATGTCTGCAATATACTTTAAATAAAAACACAATGATTTTGCTCACATAGTAATGTACTTGTAATTATCTATGGTGACTACAGCGAGTTGTTCTATATTGTGTGGCAGATCCCAATGTTGCTGGAGGAGAGTCTACATTCTGATCGTGAGATGGACCATCTGTTTGAAGCTAGTTCATTTTTCAAGGAGTTTGATGACTGGGGAATGGATTCGGTGTTCCACAAGGCTCCTGACAGTCTGTCCCAAGGTTCGTGGAGAATTAATTTAAAGTACTCTGTTACAGTAAACAAATTTCATGTTTCCTCAACAATCGAGAAACAAATTTATTTTGTAAGTTAAAAAATATGTAGGCGTATTCATATTTGTTTTAAAATTTTCTTAGGTTAAAATATAGAATTAAAAAATAATTCTTATGCTATTAATTGTTTTTATTTGATTTTTTTTTAGAAATTTATGTTGTATATTATTAGTTACTCCTGAATTGTCATATCAATTTTACCTCCAATCTACATTACAGTTTAAATTTCTGGTGTTCAATGTCCATTGGTTATCTTAATTCTTGATGCATCAGATGGTTAAAACACCTTATTCAGTTAAAATAATAGTAAATCGTAAAATGAATCTCCAGAATCAGGAACTTCATTAATCTAATTGGGGTTGCCTATTAGTTTGGATTAGGGAGCTATTCTACTGGACTATTTTATGTTAATTGTGTTAATTTTTTATGACAACTTTATTAATCTAATTTGCTAAAGATGTACAAACAAAGTGTTAACTCAAGTGTGCACTGAGAATCATTGAATGTTTTAAAATGTAAGATTGAAACAGCAATTTACCTTCCTTGATGTTTATAAATGGTGTTTGTATTTCAGTGCTGATAAAGGAAGAGATCATGTTAGAGACTGACGTTATCCCAGAGTCTCCGTGTAGTCAGAGTCAGGACAGCTGGTCCTCGGCTTCATCCTCATCCTCCACAGACACCAAGGTGAAGTTACAAAATAATATGAATCATCTGAAGCAGAAAGATACTAGAACTTTCTACCATTCCAAACATAGCCTCCTCTAACACAAGGCCGGGACGAACAATGTAGCAATGTCATACTCGCCGGCCTGCTGCTTTGGTAACAACAGTAATAACAAATTTTGTAAACATAAACATTGCACAGACGCCAAATGAATTAGTGCTACAGCTGTTTTGGTAGACCTGGACTGCAGTGTTGCCACTTTTATCTCGCCGCAGCATTGTAGAATAGGCTTTGTTCCAACTGATTACTCTATTCTCAACTGAAAATAAAAGATTTTGCAAATGTGACTTTTGACGATAAAGAAAAAAATCATGGGCAAATAGTTTAGGTCTTGTGTGGTTTTTAATAATGTAGAACTTGTGTATGGCTATTTCAATTTTAAAAATTGCAAAGAGAATTTTTTTTTGGAGTAAATAAAGTCAAAATGTTTAAATATTTTCTGTAATGTATATTAGTTTGGATTTGAATTGAAACTCATATCCATGTTGTCTACTGAGCTGTTTACTAGAATCACCTTTTCCATCAAACAGCTCAAGAATTCTTTCACATATTACTTTGGTGTAGTTCTAATTGTATGTGTTCGTGGAGAGAAATCTTTAATAATGAGATCTTAATAATGGCTAGTTATCTTTGCCCGAGGGCAATAGTACACTGAAAAAATTCAACTTGATGGTGGGCCGACTAGAGCCTTCAGAATTAGGTTGACCCCCAAATTACCAGATGTTACCGACAAAAATATGATAGTCTACAGTGGCATGTAGCTCCTCCGACCCAACCAGTACCAACTGATCAAGCTAATAGTGTACACCTGTATTACTCCGTTAGGGTTTAGTACTTACTTTTCATGTTTGCACAGAACATACTGGAGACGCCGCCAATATCCCCGCCACAGTCCAGCAGTGGCAGTCCACCACGCACCCCCACACCCCCTTTGTCACAACCAGCCCCGCCTGTACTCATGTTAGCTGGCAAACCTGTCAAAATGGTTCCTTTCAAACAAGGTGAGTGCTATATATACCATACTATTATCCATGTATTGTCCTACTATTATAAAATTGAGGTGGTGTGTTTCTGTCTGTCTGTCTGGACAGCTGTAAAAACTAAAATACTAAACTGATATAGTTAAAATTAACCACAAAGATGGTCCACATACCTAGGAATGTCATTGGTCTATTCAGTTAACTTACCTGAGTTCCTCTCAGGCTACGCCCCTTGGATGTCCAAAGTTTTGAGGTTAGCCTTTTCAAAAGTAAATATTAATTGGTCTCGATGGAAGCATGAGAAAATTCACAATGTTTACCTTTGCGTTGACATTTTTGATGTAAACATCAGAACTACCAAATGCATAATTCACAATTTCAGACAGCTGATCCAAACAAATCCAAATATAATATTTTACCTAACCCACCATGTTAAACTTCCCTATCCCAAGCGTGATGTATATAACTTAGTTGCTTCTCGAGTGATGTTAAGTTGAAAAAAACTCACTCGGTGATGTAATGAAACCCATTTAAATAACATTGAGTGCTTAACTTAAAAAATATACCTCTATGGAGACAACGACGTTCAACGCTAGAAATCAGCTGTGCGCTTGAATTTTATTGTTATGTTTTGAAGAATTTTCCTGACCTAGCTTTTGTTTGTAAATGAACGTTACTGTTAGAAGATGAGTGAAATGGATAATGAAAAATATTGTTCGTAACCTCCTGTATATTGTCGGGTCAGGTAAAATCTTGTACGTTACACGTTACGCAAGAGCGTGTTTACATCACTTCGGTAAATTATGCAACTCGCTTCCGCTCGTTGCACAACATTCACCTGCGTGATGTAAAAACGCTCGTACTACACTCCTAAGGTAAATATCTATTACACAGCTATGTGTAGGTTTATTGAGGACTATTATACAGCTTTGTCATAAATTAATTATTCTAAAACTGTGTCATTGATTATGGAAACAAAAATACCCCTGCCGCAGCAAACCTACGGACTTTTCCATTTTCCTGAATTGATTTTAAATTAAATCTATTTAAATAACATTCGGTTTAACGAGTCAAGTACCTAGGTTTGCTGCTACTGAGAGGTAATAAAGTGTTTTGTAGTATAAGATTAAAAGCTTAGTATAAAATAAATTGATTTGCCTAGTTTGATCAATATATATCCATAAACAAGCAAACTACAACAGTTTACTTATTCTCGAAAAAAATAACATGGAAGTTTTAAAATTTACATTTTTGGAATTTTCTCCGTAATCTAATCAATAACCATACAAAAACACTTCAATATACTAAATTATTTGTTTTTAAGCTCTTCAAATTGGTCTAGAGAGAAATTGGGAAATGTTATGTTTTTAGGGTATAAAACGAGAAATACAATTTTTTACCCCATAAAACCCTGTTCTAATATATCATGCTGGTTCTTAAATTCCTTCAAATATACGTAGGTTTACACGTCTGTACCAAATTTAATTGAAATCGGATAATTTTTGCTCGAGTTATCGTGCTAACAGATAACAACATTTTTTCCTGCGTTTTTTCTCTCAACATTTTTCCTAATCCGACCTTTCAAATGATGAAGTTCTCCGAATACATTTCTATTCTTACTTATTTGGTGTACTCAATAATCCCGCTTGCTGATGGAGTATAACAATGCAGTTTCATCATCCCTACTGCATACTCATTGTCCATCCACGACACATCGTCTAAACTACTTCGGCACTATAGTCCGTTCACAAAATTGAGGCGGTTTGAGAGGAAGTTCCCCCACCACTTTTTTATACTTAATATACATTGCAGCTGATTGAAGTTTTGACAAATCTCAAGTGTAATCGCTATGTGTTAATGGCAGGATCAAGACGTGGAGGAGATAGATTTCCTCCCCTAAAACCACCTAAATTTTTTGAACAGAGTATAAGCTACTATAGTCATATGACTCGAACTGGCAACACTTGGAACTGCAAGCTGCAAAGGTGTGCAATTCGGTGTGTGTTGACAGCCTCTTTAAAGACAGAGGGCTCGGTGTGTGTTGTGCTTTAAATACAAATGTACTAAAGGGTGTTAATGTTTTTCAGGCACCCAGCTGTCCGATAGCAAAACCAAAGTGATGCTGCCAAAACAGTTTACAGCCAAGAACGTGATTCTGCAGTCCAGACCTGTTAATGTGACGTCTGTGCCTATAAGTTCTTCAGCCCATAGTGAGTGTTAAGTATGCATGAGATAAAATAACAAAAGTAGTGTACTCTTGAAAAATGTTTTTGGATTTTTTTAGCAAATTGATTGTATTGACATTTTTAGTACAAGTAATCTGACATTTTCTGTTAATTCACTACCACTATACAAGTTGTATGTAACAATACCCAATCTAGGTTCCAACCTAGCCTAACCCAACCTAAATTAACATTACCCTAAACATTACTTGTGGATAATTATAACATTTCTACTTGAAAAAAGCATAATGTTAGTGAAGGTCTCAAAAATCAAAGAGAAATTGTATATTCAACAGTCAAAGCAATAATTGTTCAATATGATAAAAACTACCTTCAAATAGTTTTGAGGCTTAAATAGCAATTTTTTCAACATTGTTTTTCCACGTCGAGAATCATGAAACAATTAGTGGATACTAGTTGCTCTACCCGTGCTTCGCTACGGGGTGAGAATACAGAAAAGAATAATTCGGTTTTACTTTGAGATACTATAATATACTATAAGAAACAGTTACAACACACTTACCAGGAAACATATAGGCAAAGGCTCAATCCTGCTTATTGATTATTTAAATGAAGATCTCTCAATGTATTACAATACTATCATTTTATATAGTGTATAGCATTTAAAATATATATGCTAAAGTATAATTCATTAACCACATGGCACCAAGAAACTATTCTCCTTGTAAACAAAATTAAATTAAATAACAGAACAGCATTCCTGACAACAGCTGGAGTTTCATAACAATGTTTGTTTCCCATGTTAATCTTATGGAGAAATATGAAACTTTAAAGGGCCCCAGGGTCTCATTCTTTAATTATTTAGCTAAAAAGAAAGTTTCCTGCACAACTTCATGTTACGCTCTTTCCAATGACACCAAAATCATGTCAATCGGTTCAGTAGTTTCGGAGGAGTAATTGTCACAAAAAACTTGCTTGCGTATTAAATAAGTATAGATTATTACAAATCTGACAAACATATTTCAGATGGACAAAAGACCCTGGTGATCTCATCCAAAGAGTTGAATGCTCTGAGGAGTCAAGTAGCGGTGAACAAACAGTCATGCCCTGCAGAGATCAGGATAGTCAATCCCATCAACTTGGCCCCCACTAATGTCAATGTGAAGAATATACCCTCTGACAGACAGGACATACAGGTAATGTAGCAAACTTCTGTAGTTGGGAGGTGTCCCATGGTTAACTTTACATCAAGTGATTACTGACTTATGCATTTATTGAAAAAAAAATTATAAAGCTTATGTTTGGTTATGAATGTTTCGAGGAATATTTTTTGAAACTGCATTTTAGCAAATTTTTATTTTAAGTGCCTTAAAACATTATATTTTTCGCTTAGGCCTATAAACTATAAGATTTACATGACACATTATTTGAATGTTATGTAAATGATTCTATATTTATCTACACCATTTTTGATTGCATTCAAAACTCTAAATTTACCTTTACCAACATTAAATCAAGTTTACTTTATTTTACCAAACAAACGCAAAAGTAACATCAGCTTGCGCCCGATGGTGTTTGAAATTAGTGTGCCTGATTAAGAGCTAACAAGCACATAGCTGTGTTTTTTAGTTCATAATTGCAAAGAATAACTACTTTAGTTTATGGGAAAATGTACTTTTACTACGTAAAAGTTTTGACTACAAGCACATGGAAGTAAGAGAGTAAGCTACCGGCTAACCTACCAGGGTATTTCTTCTTTCCAGCTAAAAGCATTGAAGCGGCAACAGAGAATGATCAAAAACAGAGAATCTGCGTGCCTGTCTAGGAAGAAGAAGAAGGAATATATAACATCTTTAGAATTCAGGATATCTGAGCTTGAGAAAGAGAATATTCAGCTGAAAACTGTAAGAAAAAGAGTGTGTTTTTCTATCTAATTTATTCTGATTAACACGTTGCCTACCAGCTGTCACTCTCCTCTCTATCCCTCATAGAGAGTCTTTTGTGACCTGGTAGTGAATGTGTTAAAAAAAAGAATTGCCCTATTGCTGTTCAAAACTATTAGTTTGTAAGCATATTATGAGCTAGTAAAAAATATGATAAGAATAAGAATTATTTATTTCATTGATATTTTTACAAAGAAATAGGACACGTCAAATAGATTACAAAATAATCATCTTAATACAATCTAATTTCTGATTCATCAAAATATTACATAAAATACAAACAGGCATAATAACTCATTTTAATTAAAATTAATCATCAAAATTGCACTTGATAAAGTCACTTAGGCTGTAAAAAGGATTTTGTATAAGCCAATTATAAGTTCAATTTAAAAAAATATTATAATCAACACCGATACCGACTTGAGTAAAAATACTGACATAAAAAGGTATAACATATGAATTAAACATACTCCCTTATCATCCTTTTGGAATTTCCAGTTTAATGTAAGGCATGTTCACGCCTCACTTGAATTCTTTGATGTCTAATTTTTATAATTATGAAGTTATCTAAACAAACTTATTTGTATTCTAAAAAAAACCAAAGTCATGAAAAAGGTTCAACATTTTACACAAAGATACATTTTTCAAACAGAGGTTAATTAAGTACTGTAATAAAGATGAAACTTGTTGTAGGAAAATGAAGCTCTCAGAGCCAGGTTGTGTGAATGTGATCCTACGATAGTTAAGAGGCCCAAATCTGCGTTCAACATCAACGTGAAGAAAACTGCAATTCTGGCTGTGTTGTTGATGGTGTCTGTTAATCTTGGGTCTCTCAGGTAACTCATAACGAGATAGGTGAAGTCCTAGTGAATGAAATGTACTGTTTTTCATATTGCATCAAAAAATCGCTTCTTAAAACGCATATTATTAGACTAGATTGGTTATTTTAATCTCTAGAGATAAAGGACCAGATGACATTGATGTGTAGATATCTATAAACAGGGTGGAAAAGAGTGTGGGGACAGTTGAATGTTTCAATGAATAATTAAGAGAGAGCTAAAAAGCTTGGTTACTGGGCATTAAAATGTTTTTGACAGATAGTTTCCCGTAGGGGACGGCCCACTAGAAGTTAGAAGACATTTTTAAATATAACCATAGGTTGATACAAATACTCAAAAGACAATTATTGTAAACTATAGCATCGTTTGTGTCACATCAACTATGGCAGTAACAAAGACTAAGAGAGAAAATAGAATTACAGACTGTAGCACAATCTATGTGTGCCTTAGCTTGTCTTTATAGCTAGGAATTCTACTTCAGTATACTAAAGTCATTGATTTAAGTCAGCCGAGTGGTATTTCTACTCACATATTAAACTCATGTCTACAAGTTTTAATGATTCTGTGTACAGTTTCCTGACGAGGGGCAGACCGGGAGCTGATGCGGTGATGTCTATGCCTGAAGTGGCTCTGCCTCGTGGTGGCCGTCGTCTGCTGTGGACGGACAGCGATCTTCAGAACATCTCTACATCACCAGTAGACTCCTCATCTCTCTACCCTATGTGTCCCCTGCACATCAACCAGACTGAGTCCCTCAGGTATGTTCTGGTCACTGACACTAGTTGTCATTTAATAATAAGTTAATTGTTAAACTGTGTTCATTCTTGGTAATGGTACAAGTCAATTATATAAATTATCTAAGATGCCACTATGTGCGTATATTAAACCCAAATATGAGTGAAGGATGAGTGGCGCGATCTTGTAGTCTTGTTAGTAACTAAGGCCGACATGTTCCTTAGACACAGCTGTTAATTAATAGCCCATTCAGCCAATGACAACTAAGGGACCTAAAGTTTATATTAGAATCTAGAATCTGAACCACATTTTCCCTTGTAATTAACGAATTGGTCTAATTATCAATTGTGTATTTGTTTCTTTTCCTTTACTTTATTCACATCCCGAGTACTTTTCCCACAAAAAATGTTGATACTATTGTTGATATCTTTTGTGGAAAAAGCACTTCGGTTGTGAATAAAGTAAGGGAAAAGAAACAAATACACAATTAACTTGTCTAAGAAAAGAGTTCTGTCAGTTAATAGATTACAAACAGTTCACACCCCAATAATAGAACTGAAAGTGATGTGGGCATGATGATTCATACAGTTTGATTAACTTACTAATTTAAATTTGTGCCTCTTTTTGTTATGTTATCAAAGAATTGATAAACAAATTTCAAGGGAGATTTATTCATTTTTAAAACAAATTTTACCAAAGTACCCTAGATAAAGTCACATTTTACAAAAGCTTCCCCCCTGTGACAGGTTGGACAGTGAGTTACGTCGGTGGATTGGTGCAGAGAAACCTCCTACGTTCACCAACAACAGCGACGAGGACAGTGAGAGTGACTTTATAGATGTTCAGCTGGCACGAGACAGCCGACTCATGTTGCATGAGAACCGCAACCCATCCCCTCCTCTGATACCTCGGGCCCGGAGAAAACTCAAACTGTAAGTGATGTTTTGAAGTATGGATATGACTGGTCATATAGAGTTAAACAGTTTTGCTTTATTTTTCACACTTAAAAATGAATTAACATGTTTAATGTGAGAAAGTAACAGTTACTTTTAAATCAAGCGGCTTGAACACAATAAGCTACATAAATCATTTTAAAGTGAGAAAGAAACAGTTACTTTATCTAGTGGTGTGACCTTAAAATCAAGCGTCTTGAATAGTAAAAAAAAACATTTGAGTTTTGATTTTATCACTAAACATATGTTTTTAATAACCTAGAATCTTTTTCTTTTTCTTTTCCCTTTTGTGAGTATTTGGCAGAGGAAAGAATCATAAGACTTTATTAATTTTTCAACCTGTCGATTGAGGTAAAAGTTGTTTCTAGTTTAATTGTGTTTAATTTCTAGCAAGTTGGTATGTACTTCACTTATGATTTTACAAATGTATCTTAATATTCTTAATTCTTACTGAAATTCAATTGTGTTTACGTAGTGACAGGCCCAAGAAGGAGGTGGGGGAGGTAGAGCTAGTAGTGCCAGCTGGTCCAGGACTGTTTGGAGCTCTCAACCGTAGAGACGACACATTCTACGTCGTGTCCTTCTCAGGTGACCATCTGTTGCTGCCAGCAGCGGCTCACAACAACAGTGTCAGACCTAAGATGTCTTTGGTGCTGCCTGCCCTGCCTTTCAACTGTTAGTACAATTAACACTAGTTTGTATTCTTTATTCCCTCCTTTTTTAAACCAACAAGTGTTTACTCACAATTATATGAAATTTTCACAAGTGTCTTGTGCAGTGAATGCTGTGGAGTTTACTCTAACTAACTATGACCAACTTTTTAGCCTGATTGTGTTGTTGGGTGATAAATTTGTTAATTTGGTTGTAAAACGAGTCAGAAGAATATTAGAAATATACTGATTGAAGTATTGGGCTCATTGTTTGTACAGTTAATTTTTTTACCTTGTGTAAGTAATATTATAGTGCAAAATAAGAGGCATTGTAGAAAAGAGGACTGGATTACTAGTTACTGCACCTTTTTTACTACTTGGAAAATGTGTGCAATGATCTCTTGAATTAAATATTGTTACCAACTGATGTATGACCAGTGAGATCTGTGTGCTTGCAGCCACTGTGGACGCCTCTGCCTCCTCAGTGACGATGATGCAGATAGACTGTGAGGTGTTGGACACGAGACTAGTGGAGCTGAGTGAGAGAGATATTCCTACACATCTGCGTCAGGCCAAGCCACCGGCCGCAACACAGCGCCACAAAAACGGCTCTCAAGAAGGTAGGCAACACTCACAACCTTGTCATTTTAATAACTTGCTTTTAAGTTCAGATGTCTTTGAAGCATTTCAACTTAAAAGAATTTGATTCTCTATTCGGTATACGGTCCTGAATAAGGTACACCAAAAAGGTATACAAAGAAAATTAAAACAAGGTGGTTAAAAAATAATTTTGAAGGTTCATGCATTTATTTTGAATCTTTAAATGTTTGATTATTTTCATATATTGTGATTTCTTATAAATATGGTAATTTACTATCTTCAAATTCCAAATTAAACTGAATCTTTAGAATAAAAATGATCTGATCTTAGAAATTCCAGTTTTTTTTTTTTATTAATTTTAATAACTTTGCATTTGAGTATTTCACCCTATTATTATAATTGGAGAAGATGTCTGCACAATCGTGAATTTAGATTTTACTGTGTTTGTGAAGAGCAACCCAAACACGAATATAATTCTGTGTATGAGGATATAATGTGAAATACAGCAGGAGTTGAAATAACAAAAATGTCTTAGAGAAATAAATAACTTTTTTATACGCTTAATCTTTGATACATCTTTCAACTGTTAATATGTCTTTATCTATACTTATAAAAGGCAAAGCCCTCACTGACACACTCACTCACTCACTCACTCATCACTAATTCTCCCACTTCCCATTTATCTAGGAGGCTGAAATTTGGCACATTGATTCTTTAGGCATTAAATAGGAAAACTAAGTTGTTTCTATTCTGATCGGACTCTCGGGCTCCGCCCCAGTAGCTCTGGAGTTTCCCATGTTAACCTTATGATTTTTCATTTTAAAAGGAATTAATGAATCTTAACAGCTGTTTCAATTAAACAAGTTGGTTCTGTTCTATGATGTTCAATAGCATTAAAGTTACAAGGATTACCAACAGGGTGTGGCACTATTATTATTATTTTTATTTATGACAAGAGCTAATTTGCAACTAAAAGGTGAGTGAGCGTAGCAAACGAACTTCAACCTGGAGGCGAGTTATCGTAGCGAACAAGCTAATATGAAGGTAAGTGAGCGCGGTGAACGAGCTCCAACCTAAAGGTGAGTGAGCGTAGCGAACAAACTTCAACCAGGACAAGATTGAGCCATGCGAACGAGATCATCTTGAAAATTAAGAAGTTAAACGGGGCAAAGCCCGCGGGTACAGCTAGTAATATATAAAAATGTGTTAATATAATAATCTTTTATGTTCATAATAAAGCATTAGTATTATACAATTTTAGAGCAGTTTTATCTTAGAACTATATAATACGTTTCAGTTCTAAATTGTTTAAATAATCACAATCAGATTTGACATGTGAAGATGTAGAACTCCAATCGTCACCTCCAAACTTTGCCTCAAACCTTTTTCCAACAATCTTAATCATATGATTGGCTTCACAATCCAATTTGTTCTTTTGTTACAGAGGAGCCAGTAAGAAGTTCCTACAGGCCTTACTTTGTTCGGTCAAACAACTTTGTAGATCCGTACGCCCAAGTACCACGGGGGCCAAGAGACCCAAAATTGTTTTCGTGAGCAACTCGAAACATCTAGAAAACTTGATCTCACCAGTGGAAAACTGGATGCGTAATGCACAATGAACTATTTTGGTCTGTTTTGCCACTTGTTTTGATATGGTACATGTGTGTGAAAATCAGCACCAATTAGCCTGTTGTTGTGAAGTTTGGTGAGCCTGATTGGTGTTAATTGATTAAGTTTTGTTCACTGGAAGCACCAAAGGAATTTCTTGAGAAGTGTTGTGAACTGTTACATTTTAGTCGTTACAAATATTCTGAAAATCATAATTCTGTAAATAAACCCCACCCAACTTGCTTGGAAAAAATACTAAAAAGGCTAAGAAGACACCTTGCATTTGTTATTTATTCCAAATTAAAATTAAATCTGCCACTGCCATTCCTACAAAAAAAACCATAACATTTGGGTATTCTTTTATTAACAAGTAACTCTTATTTTTCATTAGTCCAACAAATATTGGATAAACAGCTTGTCCAATGCTATTCATTTTAGAGAATTTCCCATATAGGAAATAAGCTATTACCGTAGTACTCATGGTAAGACCTGGACCCGGGACCGAATTGCTTTTTCGTTTTGAGGTCCCTAGAGGCCAAAAACACCATCTGTTCAAATTCATATTTATGTGTCCGTTAGAACGATAACTCGAGCAAAAATGATCCGATTTTGATGAAATTTGGTAAAAACCTGTAAACCTACATGTATTCAAAAGAGTTCGCGAACCAGCATGATCGGACTATGGGAATGGGGGTTTTATGGGGTAAAAATAGGTATTTCCCACTTTTGACCCTAAAAACACAAAATTTCACAATTTATTTCAAAACCATTTTGTAGAGCTTAAAAAAACAAATAATTTAGTATATTGAAGCGTTACTGTTAACCTAATGGTTACGGAGAAAATTCCAAAAAATTTTTAATTTAAAATTCCGATGTTATTCTTATGGAGAATAAGTCAACTGTTGTAGTTTGCTTGTTTATGAACATATTTTGATTGAATTTGGAAAATACATTAATTTCTTACCAAACTATTAACATTTTACAGAAAAAACCCACCTTTTTACCCTCCCTGTTGCAGCAAACCTAAGTACTCGTTTAGTACTATTTAAATAGGGAATAAATGTGATATTCTTAAGGAGGGATTTTAGTGTAAATCCTATCAGGCTAATGGAAATTCGCTTAGTCTGCAGGTTTGCTGCGGCGGGGGTATTATTTATTGCATCATACAAGAAGGCGCTAGTTTCTTCTTTTTACAAATTTTTGGAATTAATGAAATGGTCAGAGGATAGTCGTCAAGTAACAAAGAGCATTTATCCAAGATCTAAGATAATTGTGTTGTGTCATAAAGTAACTTGGATAAGATATGTCAAAATGCAATCTTTTATCATTCGGTGTACCTGAAATTCTTAAAATTAAGTTAAATCAGTGTAACTGATTGAAAAAACTACTAATTAGTTTATTGACATAAATTTTTTTGTGATAAAAAGATTTATTGTGGATAAATTAAGTTTTTAGCAATTTACACTATTGAACAATATTTATTCCATGTTTTATGGATTTTGTCGCATCAGTCTCACACAATACTCAGTCTGGATTTATCTTGTAAATATCACGTTTGATAATGCAAATACTAGACTTTTAGATATTTATATGATTATTACTAGGTATAATTTAGTAAATTATCTGGGTGTGTTGTGTTCCTTACTTGTTGTAAGCTTGTAGTAATTACATTCCTACCTTGTAATCGTCCCCTGGGATTACAGAGTAACAGTATTACGCCTTGTAATTTGTAATATAACTAGTTAGTGTGAAACTGTCCTGTGATGGTTTCGGACTGAATAAACAAAGTCATATAATTGATACATTGGAATATTTATTTGTTGTATGGCGAGTGCATCAGAATGAACGTAAAGCTTGAGTTTCTACTTGTATTTGGCATAGAAAGTAGGCTACTAAGCTACAGTGTAAAGAATAGTTTTAACCCCTTGTCCGTATCCTCCTGTACTTTTCAAAGATACTCAATTTATTATGTACAGAGTGTTGAAAAATACAATACTGCCCATTAATCATTGATTGCTTCACTGAATAACGGCATATTGTATGGAATTTTAAAATTGTTAAACCCCATTTTTTCACCAAATAACCCTTTCAAGATTCTCATGTCAGCCAGATATCCTGTGTAATATCAAAATAACCATTTCACGATCGCCTTTAGCCTGCGGTCAATTTCTGATTATAGTCTATCCACATGATTTCTGATGAGATTTTATTTGTTTCCAAGTAGCACTTAATCCATCAGAAAACATTGTTTCCAAATTTGTAAAAGAAATTTGATCCAAATCTAGTGAAAGATCGATCATTTACTGGTGGTGCTATAGTACATGACTGACTGATTGAATAATTGTTGGCTAGAATTTTGATTTTAAAACAAGTATTGTACCCTAACATATTTACTGTGAATTACATGTAATATATTGCAATTTCTATCAATAATCATAGAACCGTGGCAAATCCAACCCACCTTTTTTGTAAAACACGCTTTAGTTGGAAGCTTGAAGATGAATTGGTTGGAACATTTAATTTTGTTTGTGTAGTAAAAAGACAATTGAAACTTTTTTTCAATTAGTGATAGGCTAGATTCAAATCAGGCTCCAAAACTACTTTTAAGCCTGTTTGTGATAGACAAGGCAAAACAAAAAGCTCAATATGATATTTTTTTATACAAAAGGGCCATTTACTGGGGTGGTCTTTTCCTGGTGCACTCGCCCTAGAGACTAGATGGAAATCAGTTGACACTGTATGCAATTTGTTTGCAAAAAAATATGTTTATCCATTGTAAAAAAAATTACTTTCAGCATTATCTATAATGTACTATCTGACAATGTTAAGAAACTATCTCCCTGGTTTCCTGACTTTGCACAGATTATTGTACATACTCTAATGTTCAACAAAAATGTTATATAATTCAGATAATTTTAGGCCACATTTTTACAAATAAGTAAACATTACAGTCATTTGGCATTTTTAGATTGCCTAGCCTAAGCCAAACCATTATATCCTACCATGTCATACAATTAGAATTAACTTATTGGTTTCTAAACCTTACACTTTTGCTTGTTTTAATGTATGTTATAAAAATATACCAAAAAGAGGTTTTCATAGTTGTTATAGATTGTCAAATATAGTTTTTATTTGTTAACGGATGCAATATTTTATACGTGTTTCAGTTTGTATAGTTTTAAAGATTAATATGTTGTATTATTTTGTATATTTTACATTTTCACTATTGATAATGTAGTATGAAGTCATAAATACAAATTTATGGGAAGTATTTTGTTTAATTTTATTTCTATAACACCCCATGGCTACCCCCTCTCCCTTACACCCAAGATGCTATATATGTATTTATTTGTTTTAATGTTTACATACCAAATACTCAATAATATACATATTCTGTAAAATTGTTGTTATAAAAACATAGGCACTGTAGCAGAGATGCACTATTTAAATCAACAAATGTATCAATAGTGTGTACTAATATGGTTAAAAAAACACACACATTTTTTGTTCAACAAGTATAATATAAAATATAAATAAGTTAAAGAAGTATACATGAATAATACCATAGTACCCTAAAACAATATTTTAATTTGCCCACATCATTTGGCACTTTGGCCAATATCAATATAAAATCACAATATAAAGGTGCTAGTCTAAATAAAGCTACAATAATCTACCTGCTTAATAAAATGTAATATATTAAAACCCCAATCATCCGCAGAAAGTTAATCAATACAGCCAAAAGATGATTGATCCTTATTATTAGAGCTGTACTGTATAACTCAAGTATTGCACAAAATCAGTTCTTTATGTGATTAAAAAAGAGTAATACTGAATTATTTATTTCTATAGAGTAACTCACTAAAAGATAAGAAAATATTCTTTTCAAAATATATTCAGGCGTTATAATAAGAAAAAGGCACAGTGCAAGGGAAAGGCACTTTAAGGACCAACAAAATAGCCTAGGGCCTATTTGAGTTTTCCCAATAAATTACAACAATATAGAAAACCTAATGACAATAATCATCACACTTAACTAATTTTCAATTTATTGGCTTAACATTAAGGTTAAGGCGAAGTAAACTTATTTTAAAGACAAAGAAACCATTATTACTGAAAAGTCTGTGATGTGTTCAAGTACTTAAACAGTTTGACGAATGTTACATTACAATAACTTAACTTTTAAGTAGAAAGTAACATTACAGCTAGAATATAGAAAAATAGTAAATAATAAATGCAAAAGTATGTAATGTGTCAGTATTATAGGTTTTAAAATATGATTTAATCTTCCCATTTGTTATAGTTTGAATACTTATCAACTCAATTATAAAATAGTAAGTAAGACACAAAAATACTGTTGAGTAAAAGTCATTACCTCCTGTTAACCGACCTGACATTAACCGATAATCGGATTATCCGCCCTCGATCGTAAAATATTACAGTTTGTTGTAACCGACCTTGCTTTGAGAGCAGTGGGTTTAACCACCGCTTTCTAGGAATCTCGGCATTTCCGTTACTACGTTTGGCAATGGGAAACATACACTTATCTCCAAAGGATGTGAATAAGCCAAGTATGAATCGAGATGAGTGTAGGATGAGTGGTGCGACCTTGTAGTCTTGTTAGTGACTAATCAATCAATCAATCAATCAATAAATCTTTATTCAATACATACAACAAGTGTACATGAATGTGTCATCAACCTAAAACTACTTCACATGATTTCACCTACTTCCCTACTTGCTTAGTCATACAGTTTTTTTGTTACAGTGTTCAAAACTTTCTAAACTATAAAATTCACTATAAATTAAAAACCACTTAAGTTTATTTTTGAATTTATTTACGCTACTTTCGTTTCTAATACTGCTGGGGAGGGAATGCATGAAGTTGATTCCAATATAATTAGGACTTTCCTTAAATTTTTCTTTTTTATGTTTTTTAGTTATGAAGTTTAGTTTGTTTCTAGTGTTATAATTATGTACGTCTTTCTGTCTTTGAAGTTCTGATTCATGATTTTTAACATACATTATCGTCTTATAAATATAGAGACTGAAAACGGTAAAGAACTCTAATTCTTTAAAATGATTTTTACAGGATTCGTTTATATCGAGATTAAGGATACACCTAATGGCTTCTTTTTGTAAATGTAAAATTTTGTTTAAATTGAATTTACTTGTTCCACCATAAATTTCTATACCGTAAGAAATATGTGAGTGAATAGTAGCAAAGTAAACCTTTCTTAAGATTTCTCTGTTGCATAATGGATATAAGCGTCTAATAGCAAAAATACTTGAACTGATTTTATTACATAAGTTGTCAACATGTGAGGTCCAATTAAGTGTGCTATTTAAGGTGAGGCCTAAAAATTTAGTTTCATAAACAAAATTGTTAAACAGTTCTTTTCTAAATTTTTTAGATTCAAACTCAATGAACGTTGTTTTATTTTCATTTAGTAAAAGATTTTTTTCATTCAAGTAATCTTTAATTATTGTGAGTGAATCATGAGTTTTATTTATAAGAAGCTCCATATTCTTATCATAAATCGACATACTTATGTCATCTGCATACAAGCACAGAGTATTATTTTCTACATGTTGAATTAAATGTTTTGGCATCCCTCCCAAGTAGCACAAGAACAAGAATGGGCCCAACACTGATCCTTGTGGCACTGAGTATTTTACTGTCCTAACCTCAGATTTAATATGGTACATTTTATTCCCACTTAAATGAACAATGTTAACAAACTGTTGGCGTCCCTCCAGATAAGATTCAATCCAGTTTAACTCTTTGCCACCAATTCCATACATTTTAAGTTTAGTAACTTTAAATGGTGCACGCTGTCAAATGCCTTGGACATATCCAAAAAGGCACCAATTACTTTGTTGTCCTCATCCAACTTTTCCAACACATTTTCAATATAAGATATAAATGCTGTAGTGGTGGATTTGTTTTTTCTATAACCATGCTGCTCTTTATCTAATAAGTTATTAATTTCAAAATAATCCACTAGCTGAAAAAGAAAGCATTTTTCAAATAATTTTGAAAGAGCTGGTTGAATTGCCAATGGTCGATAGTTATTTGGATCTTTTTTGTCTCCTTTTTTATATACCGGGATAATTTTTGAAATTTTCAGCTTATCAGGATAAACACCTGTTATAAGTGAAGTATTAATGACGTGTAAAAGTGGCTTTAATAAAACAGATTTAGATTCTTTTATTATTCTAATCGGAATTTCATCATAACCTGATGACCATTTAGGTTTTAATTGGTCTATTATGGATATTAAAATTGGTTCATCAATTGTTTTGCACTTAAACTTAGTGTTTGAGGCAAAATTTTCAGAACTAGTTTGGGTTTTATTCAGATTTGGTAAAACATGATGTTCCACCATATCAGCAAAATTATTGTTTAATATATTTGAAACAGCATATGGGTCCTCTATTTCGGCACCATTCTGCATTAGTATAACATTATTATGCACCTTATCTTTTTTACTTTTAGTTTCAGAGTTCACAATCTGCCAAACAGTTTTGTTAACATTGGTCGAGTTCCTAATTTTATTGTTAAAATGATTTTTTTTCTTAAGCTTTATAATTTTTCTATATCTTTTTTTACGTTCTTTAATACAATTCTTTAACTTAATGTTACTTCTATCATTCCTGTACAATTGGTGCTCTGCAATTAATTGACGGTGCTCATTGATAATTTCATCATCGATCCAGCTGTTATTTACATTACTCGTGACTATTTTAGTTTTTGGGAAATGTAAATCAAAATAATATTTAAGTGTGTTATAGAAGTAAGTAAATTTGTCTTCAACATTACAGTTATAAAGCTTTGTCCAATCCTCCTTGGAGAGATCATGAATGAAGAGTTTAATGTTTTCAGGTTTAAATTTTCTTTCAAATTTATGTATTTTAGAATTTATATTGTTTGTACTTTTTAAATTTAAAATTTTGAAGAGTTGTCCATCATGGTCTGACAAAGCTGTGATTAAACTTTCTACTTTAAAACATTTGTCATCTATGTTGGTGATAAAATTATCAATAGCTGATTCATTATGTTCAGTAACTCTAGTTGGTATTTTAATAGTATATTGAAAACCATGCATTTGTATTATATTCACAAAACTTTTTTTCTTTTTGTCTTCCTTCAAAACATCAATATTAAAATCGCCTCCCAGTAGAATGTTACGGTTAATTTTATTTAAAATTCGCAACAGTTCATTTAATTTGTCTAGATAGATTTCAGCATTATCAGATGGGGTTCTGTAAAGACCCACAACTAAAAATTTTTCTTTCCCAATTTTAATTTCAGTTATACAAGATTCAAATATTTTATCTTGATTAATTGATGTCAAAGAATTAAATGATACATTTTTGAAACTAAGGCCGACATAATCCTTAGACACAGCTTTTAATTAATACCCCATACAGCTAATGGCAACTAAGGCACCTACAGTTTATAGTGAAATCCGAACCACATTTTTGCTTTTGGAGATATATCCTCTGGATCGTTATTGTACATAATTAAATCTAAGGCTTACCTTACGATCCAATTTATTTTTATAGTGGAGACCTAGGTTTCTATGTCGAAACTTTATCGTCAGTCCTTTGTCTCATAGGCTAGCTAAACTTCTTGTTTGCCATCTCTTACTTGAGATATTGTCGATTTGGTATAATTTGTCCAAACATTGAACACATATAAATATTCACAAAGACATAATTGAAAACAACTAAGATACATGGCCATGATCTTCTTCATCAATCCTAACCTCCGAAGTTGGGATGTGATGACTTCACCTCTAGCAGCATGGTCTTATCACTCCATAGAGTTATGTATTTTTTGTTTTCATTTATGTCTGTAAATATTTATATGTGTTCAATGTTTGTACGAATTATACCAAATCAACAATATCTCAAGTAAGAGATGGCAAACAAGAAGTTTAGCTAGCCTATGAGTCAAAGGACTTGTGGTGTCAATCTCCACAACACAACCAGTATTTAAATGTCCCGCCTAGTCTCAACCCCAGAGCTGCTCGCGCATGCGCAGGGGGCAGGCGGGCAAAAGCAGGGAACCGACGCTCTGTCGTGTGCCTGCCTTCGTTCGGACAAGATGGATCTCTAAATTAGTGGGAAACGGGGGGACACCCCAACCATGGAGGTCACCCTTTCTTCCTTTTTGCTGCTTGGGGGAGGGGGGGAGATCTTGTGGTGTCAATCTCCACAACACAACCAGTATTTAAATGTCCTGCCTAGTCTCAACCCCAGAGCTGCTCGCGCATGCGCAGGGGGCAGGCGGGCAAAAGCAGGGAACCGACGCTCTGTCGTGTGCCTGCCTTCGTTCGGACAAGATGGATCTCTAAATTAGTGGGAAACGGGGGGACGCCCCCTTGAGGTATTGTGTCGTAGTAGTAGTATTTATTAATATGTAATTTCAGATCATGTAGGGAAATCCAATATGTCATTTATTCCATCATTAGTTATTCGTATTTAATTCAAATGTTAATTCACGTTGCGTCCAGTTGACTTACAAAGTAATTATTTCATATGTTGAACAATCAAGATATTTCTGAGATATAAATGCATTATTTAATCAAACAATCATCAAAGCTGGCTCTTAGGGCCTGTGAATTGCGGTAAATTGTCTCCTCTGTATTAATAAATGTGTTCAGTTTAACGTTTCCAACAAGAACGATTTGGTCTGGAATTTAATTCACACGACCAGGTCACCAAAATGAGGCACCATTATGCCACAGACTGACGATAACGTTTCGACGTATAAACCTAGGTCTCCACTATAAAAATAAATTGGATCGTAAGGTAAGCCTTAGATTTAATTACACATTTTTGCCTTGGTATTGACAAATTGGTCCAATTATCAGGACAGTACTGCGGATAGTCCTAGTACTCACTACGTTAATCCACACCAGGGAGTATCGCATCCACAGTGCATGCCTATAAAATCCACAATTTGTGACCTCCTAGTAGCAGGATTACAGGACGATGCCACTGTTCCAGTACTAAACTTATTAAAATTAGAATAATTTATTGACTCTTGCCTACAACTATAATTTATTCCACTGAAAGTATTTGGACTCCATGCTTTGTGTTTATTTATTTCTTTTTTTAATTTCTCACTTTTTTTTACTTAACAAAAATATTTCAAAACAAGCCATACAAAATAAAACTAGATTTTCAATCCTTCCAAACATTAACAATGTGGCCTAGCCTAAAATGCTATTATGAATGCCAACATTATTAATTAAACATTAAATTTTAACGTTTAATTAAGTAGCATACGTACAAATCAGGATTAAAAGAAGGCCATGAAATAAACAGTTGATATTCTGAAATATGCAATTGGCATTGGTTTTGTCATATACCCAATAGCTACTGCTATTCAGACAAAATTTATAGCGGTGGGGCACACGGGAGGGACAAAGGCTAACATATCTTGTAGTGTCAGCGTTCGCCGCTAGAACCGCTAAGTTGAAAAAAAATATTTTTTTTTTATTTTTGGTTATAAAATAAACTTTTTAATTATAAAATATTGTTTTAAAATTATAAAATTAGTTTTTAATTTTTAAAATAAAACTGTCATAACATAACCTAACCAACCAGACTTTCTGATAAATATAAAAACTGTATAAGATAAAAATCTAATTAATGATTACTTATAATTTTTAATTAATTATAAAATTAATTTTAAAATTTAGCATTATAAAATTAAACTGTCATAACCTAACCTAACCAACCAAACTTGCTAATATGAAAAATTTGTTGACAAAAAGTTAGTGCTACCAGCGGGATTCGAACCCGGGACCTCCTGAACATCAAATCGAAACGCTACTAACTATGCCACGAACGCCGCTGAAAACACATCGTTTCGTTACGGTAATCGTGTTGTATCAAGAGTATACATTAGCCACTAGAGATATGACGTCACTACACCTCTAGCCTTAGTCCCTCCCGTGTGCCCATTCCAAATTTATAGGAGTTCTATGTAAATTAGACATGGATATAATTGAAAAAAATCATTGGCTTGTGACGCATAGCGGCACGCTATATTTCTTATAGTGTCAGCGCTTCGCGTGGCAGGGCTGCATGTTATCTCGTCAGCCCACCGCGAGCAAGCGAACGCCTTCCCCACCTACTTTTCCAATTCTCTCCCCACTTCGTCGCCGATCATCAAGAAAATCGCACTGAAATCTAATCATCTAGTAACCTTCCTAAAATGGCTAAGTCCCTAGGATAATTATATAGTTAGATACTAAATAGTAATGTCACACTAGTTAGCAAACTAAAGGGGGAGACCTACAACGGTCGCCCCGACCTTGGAAATATAGGAATAAATTAATTGCCGCATAGATTAATGTTAGCATTTTCAACATGAAAAGGGTAACACGTTTTCCCCAGTAAGTTTCCTCAGTTCATCTCAATAAATTCATAGTTATTTCTGATTAAAGTAGTTCAATCACCACCAAATCACTTCATACATAGTAATTTTCTAGCTCACAAGTTTTGGAAGGAGTTTTGGAAGGAGTTTTGGAAGGATAGTTAAGTAAATTAGTTGTATAAGGATAAATCAAAGCTGGCTATGCAAGCTTCCGGCCTGGGTAAAAGATCTCCGTCCTCTGGTCCACAACACGTCTTTCATGTAAATAATTTGGTAGCAGAATCAGTACGCTTAAATTAGTCTCACAGTACAATATCACAGGCTAATAATCTAATTTGATGAATTAATTATTGTTCAAATAAGTGAGTCATTGGCTCAGCCAAAAGTTTAAAAGACTGCGAATCCATGGCAGCTTATCATCTGAGTTTGTGATCTGGTACCACTATATTTCATCATAGAGTTCAAACAACATAGTAAGGTAACAGTTTTGCCTGCTGGGTACGTTCCACATAAAGGTCTGAAGCCTATGGGTACAACAAATTGAAAGGCCAATACAAGCTGCCAGTTTCTTAGCAAATGGTAAATATATAGAGCTTCTTTTTGTTTAAAATCATCATTTAAGCTTTTTAATATCTCACTAACAGAATAAATGAAATTCAGATACTGAAGTTTACTCTAGAGTCTGAACTATCACTTGAGATCAGGAGTAGAACTGCCGAGGTAACAGCGAAGATCGTCAATGGTAGATCGCACAAGTTTGGCTTTGACAGTGGGCCACTCGAGGCGCTGATGTGCCGTAAAGCGATGACAGCCTCCAAATGAGTAGTAATAATCTCCTCCCTCCCTTCCCTTGATCCACAACACGTCTATAGGCGGAACAGCGTCTGGGTTTGACTGTAAAAGCAAAACCTTAATGTTGAATCAAAAACCTTGTTGTTTTTGCGGTAAAATATTTTTGATATACACTACTGTTAAAAAACCCAACTTTTTACTAAAATTTAACTTGTAAATGTAAAATTTAAATTATATATTTTACATAAAGATTTCTGATGACACTATGAACCTATATTAAGCTCAAGCTAAACTTATGTATAGGGCAGTAAATATATCACATGGAAAATGGTGGTCTATTTTAATTGGATAGTCTAATGATAGTGCCTAATGATGATAATGACAACTTATCAGTACCCTATCAGTACCAAAAGGTGAATTTAAGGCTTTCAATGTTTTACCGTCAATCACAGTTTTCCTTACTACATAGGCCTATTTCAAGTTGTGTATTTAAGCACAGCATAAGTGTGAAAATTCTTATTTAAAAAATTGTATAGCCCATTTCCATACAGCTGAGATCTTCGAAAATCGTCAATTTTCATACACCAAAACCAAATAGTGATCAGCTGCCTTTTCATGACATAAACATTGCTTTCGCTACATAAACATTACTTTCGCTACGATAGGGTAACAATCCTTTGTCTGACATCAACAAAGTTATGTTTTAACTTTTTTAAGTTTGATGAAGTAGTTTTTTTCATTGTGATGAAAAGTATCGTTTAAAGTCCCATTTCGAGGCTCGCTTGTGTTTCGACTCGCATGTAAAACACAATCTCGCCCCGAAATGGGTCACTTTTGTGACTAGTAGTGAAATGTTCTATTTCATGAACATTGGTTTGACGGGCCAATCAAGTAAAACAATCAGTAGAGATATTATCAAATTAATTGAAATGAGCATGCCATAGTCTTATTAATAACATACGGTATTTAGATTTTTAAAGTTGTGAAAACCTATTTTAATCTATTATCCTTTGTATGTTGTTATCAAATGTCTTTAGTGTTACAAATTTTATAATACAGTTTGTAATGTGTGATCTTATCAAATCCAATGGTTTTACTGCGGATGTCTGTGAAACTGCCAATAAACCAACATTAAGCTATGACGTCACGTCAGATCAGTAGATCAAGAAGGCCGTGGCATCAAAACTTCCTAACCTCAAATGCATGTATCAAAACTTTCTAACCTCAAACACATGTGTCACATGTCAAAACTTCCTAACCTCAAATACATTTTATGTTTAAATTACACCTTTTGAGCAGTTATTAAGTGTTTGTTTTACTAGTATACCATTTTTATGTTAATGCGGTGCCGAAATAAAGTGCAATGACCACTAATAACACTTGTTTTTATTCCATTGATATGTAGGCCTACTTCCACTAACCTCAAAGTGCATTTCACACTACAAACATACATCTGACTAGATTTATGTAGATTACTTTTATGGATTATGTTACATTATAAGTCAATACATGTGATAATAAAATAGCATGCCCATACGATGCTTATGATGGTTTCTATATGTGGTAACAGTTAGACCTGCTCCTTACCCAACTACCGATTTAACAGATTAAAAAAAAACAATTATATTTTAAAATTCGCTCGATAAATTTTCATTATTTTAATGGAGAATGTTATTTACACGTCTACACATGTTATAATAAAATGGCAAGCCCATTCGATGCTTATGATGGTTTCTATAGGTGGTAGAAGATAGGCCTGCTCCTTACTGAGCTACCTATTTTTCAGATAAAAAAAAATATATTTCAAATTTGGCTCGATAAATTTTGATTATTTTTAAGGAGTATGTTATTTACACGTATACACGTGTCATAATTAAATGGTAAGCCCATTCAATGCTTATGATGGTTTCTGTATGAGGTAGAAGTTGAACCTGCCATTTATTAGACTACTGATGTTACAGATTTAAAAAAAATTATATTTCAAATTTGGCTCGATAAATTTTGATTATTTTTATGGAGTATGTTATTTACACGTATACACGTGTCATAATTAAATGGCAAGCCCATTCAATGCTTATGATGGTTTCTTTATGAGGTAGAAGTTGAACCTGCCATTTATTAGACCACTGATGTTACAGATAAAAAAAATATATTTCAAATTTGGCTCGATAAATTTTGATTATTTTTATGGAGTATGTTATTTACACGTATACACGTGTCATACGTAAATGGCAAGCCCATTCAATGCTTATGATGGTTTCTATATGTGGTAGAAGTTAGGCCTGCACCTTACTGTGCTACCGACTTTTTCAGATAAAAAAAATATATTTAAAATTTGGCTCGATATATTTTGATTATTTTTATGGAGTATGTTATTTACACGTATACACGTGTCATAATTAAATGACAAGCCCATTCAATGCTTATGATGGTTGCTATATGTGGTAGAAGTTAGGCCTGCTGCTTATTGAGCTACCGATTTTTACAGATTCTTAAAAAATTATATTTCAAATTTAGCTCGATAAATTTTGATTATTTTTATGGAGTATGTTATTTAGACGTCTACACATGTTATAATAAAATGGCAAGCCCATTCAATGCTTATGATGGTTGCTATGTGTGGTAGAAGTTAGGCCTGCTCCTTATTGAGCTACAGATTTTTACAGATTCTAAAAAAATTATATTTCAAATTTAGCTCGATAAATTTTCATTATTTTTATGGAGTATGTTCTTCACACGTTTACACATGTTATAAAAAAATGGCAAGCCCATTCGATGCTTATGATGGTTGCTATATGTGGTAGAAGTTAGGCCTGCTCCTTACTGAGCTACCTATTTTTCAGATAAAAAGAAATATATTTCAAATTTGGCTCGATAAATTTTGATTATTTTTAAGGAGTATGTTATTTACACGTATACACGTGTCATAATTAAATGGCAAGCCCATTCAATGCTTATGATGGTTTCTGTATGAGGTAGAAGTTGAACCTGCCATTTATTAGACTACTGATGTTACAGATTAAAAAAAAAATATATTTCAAATTTGGCTCGATAAATTTTGATTATTTTTATGGAGTATGTTATTTACACGTATACACGTGTCATAATTAAATGGCAAGCCCATTCAATGCTTATGATGGTTTCTGTATGAGGTAGAAGTTGAACCTGCCATTTATTAGACCACTGATGTTACAGATAAAAAAAATATATATTTCAAATTTGGCTCGATAAATTTTGATTATTTTTATGGAGTATGTTATTTACACGTATACACGTGTCATAATTAAATGGCAAGCCCATTCAATGCTTATGATGGTTTCTATATGTGGTAGAAGTTAGGCCTGCACCTTATTGAGCTACCGATTTTTACAGATTCTAAAAAAATTATATTTCAAATTTAGCTCGATAAATTTTCATTATTTTTATGGAGTATGTTATTTAGACGTCTACACATGTTATAATAAAATGGCAAGCCCATTCAATGCTTATGATGGTTGCTATGTGTGGTAGAAGTTAGGCCTGCTCCTTATTGAGCTACCGATTTTTTACAGATTCTAAAAAAATTATATTTCAAATTTAGCTCGATAAATTTTCATTATTTTTATGGAGTGTGTTCTTTACAGGTCTACACATGGTATAATAAAATGGCAAGCCCATTCGATACTTATGATGGTTTCTATATGTGGTTTGTAGTTGATCCTGTCCTTTACTAGGAAGATACACTCGTTTGCATCGCTCAATCACGTCGTGGTTGAAGTTTGTTAGCGACGCATACTCACCTTTAGGTTGGAGTTTGTTCACTGCACTCACTTGCCTTCAGGTTTAGCTTGTTTGCTACGCTCACTCACCTTATGGTTGCAAATATAAATAATAAATAGTAATTCATTTATTAACAACATTTAATAACAAAATTAATTTCTAAAGGGAATTTTCCATATACCGTACCTTATGTTTTAACCATAATTTTTACTTGTAATAATTTTACCACTGGGTAAATTTACCTTAATTAAACTTATTTTTAAAAATTTCACTTTATCTTAATTTTAATGAGGTTTTCATTATTTAGCTAAAACTTTATATTATATGTTACAGTGACAATTTTTAGTGTTTTTTAGATTGCGGCCTCCTCCTCCCCTAATAGCTGCTCCTTACCTCGCCATAATTTTACCACTGGGTCATTTTATCTTAAGTAAGTTCACAAATTGCCAACAATGGTTTATCTTTTTGTTTAGGCTTTACATTAAATGTTACATTGACTATTTAACTTTTTTTTAATGCAGCCTCCTCCTCCCCTTATAGCTGTTCCTTACCTCGCCATAATTTTACCACTGTGCCATTTTATCTTAAGTAAGTTCACAAATTGCCAACAATGGTTTATCTTTTTGTTTAGGCTTTACATTATATGTTACATTGACTATTTAATTTTTTTTAATGCAGCCTCCTCCTCCCCTTATAGCTGCTCCTTACCTCGCCATAATTTTACCACTGTGCCATTTTATCTTAAGTAAGTTCACAAATTGCCAACAATGGTTTATCTTTTTGTTTAGGCTTTACATTATATGTTACATTGACTATTTAATTTTTTTTAATGCAGCCTCCTCCTCCCCTTATAGCTGCTCCTTACCTCGCCATAATTTTACCACTGGGTCATTTTATCTTAAGTAAGTTCACAAATTGCCAACAATGGTTTATCTTTTTGTTTAGGCTTTACATTAAATGTTACATTGACTATTTAATTTTTTTTAATGCAGCCTCCTCCTCCACTTATAGCTGCTCCTTACCTCGCCATAATTTTACCACTGTGCCATTTTATCTTAAGTAAGCTCACAAATTGCCAACAATAATGGTTTATCTTTTTGTTTAGGCTTTAAATTATATGTTACATTGACTATTTAAATTTTTTTAATGCAGCCTCCTCCTCCCCTTATAGCTGCTCCTTACCTCGCCATAATTTTACCACTGTGCCATTTTATCTTAAGTAAGTTCACAAATTGCCAACAATGGTTTATCTTTTTGTTTAGGCTTTACATTATATGTTACATTGACTATTTAATTTTTTTTAATGCAGCCTCCTCCTCCCCTTATAGCTGCTCCTTACCTCG